AATTGATAAATTAAGTAGTATGGTACATTTCAATGTATTTAGATAAACTCTAAATGAAAATGCAAGGATTACATTTAAACGATTCATGCCAAGTAAGGACATATTTAACGGACACGTGTCTAGGAAGGGTGCATGCAAGGGAATACATGGCAATTATACTTTTGAGGATGAGACGTCCCACCTTTTTTGGTGGTTTGCTTTTCTACTTTTCTTTCACAGCAAATCAACAGATCGACAACATTAGTCTTTTGGCAGATCGACATTGGCATTTGTCAGCAGATCTGCACAGGTCATAGTTTGGACCTATAACCCATATATGTTGGACAATGATATAAGACCTAAAGCGGAATTTAATCCCAATAGAAATAGGCGGTATTCAATGATGTATCAAAATCGTATAAGATTGAATAAACGGAAGAGGAAATGATGCCTAAATGGTACTAATTAGTGTTGGGAGGATTTTTCAAAGATTAGGACCTCGACAAGAGAATTAGAAATGCGCGTGTTATGAATTCAACTCTGAATGTTGATAGTTTGGTTGTTGAAATTGAATTTAATTGTTAGCTTTCACCAATGTCAAGGGTCCAATGGGGACAAGATGAACTTACATCAACACATTTGTTCAACAACAATTGATATATCCTCACATCTTGAACATGATAGACAATAGTATCATTACGCTCAAGTAATCTGCAAAGATAATATGTCGGAGCAGTAAATCAAATTGTAAAGTAAATAATTTTTCTATGAACAAATTACAATTATGGTTGAAACAACCAAACATTGCAATAAAGTTGGTAACCAATAATAATAATAATACTATACAAAAGTGAAAGGACAAAAAACTGCAATGACCTAAGAAAAACAACTAAAATATAAGAAAATAAATGAAAAATGGAAGAAAAGTCTAGGACTTCTATATAATTTATGGCAAAGCATTCTAATAAAGATGGTAACCAGTAATAATACACCTCGCACAACCCACAGCTCAGCAGACACGGACGCTCGCCTTCCATCGCCCAACAGGCTCCGCGCGCTCATCTCCCGTAGACCTTGCGCGGCGTCGCCCACGCAGCACAGGACCGTCTCCAGAAATTTGGAGGTCCCACACAAGCTTTTTTTTTTTCGATTTTTCGATTTGAACTTGCGTGGTAATTAGGGCTATTTGCAGATAGAATCATAGAAGAAGAAAATATAATTAAACAAGACTATTAAATAAATAAATAAATGTTTTTTCTTGTTTTTCTAGACTTTGAAATTGATAAATTACCTATGGGTTACAAAGATCTTTAATAAATTACATTCAAGTAGTCACGAGGACAACAAGGAGAAGAAAATAAAAATCATATCACTGCAAAAAATATTTATTCTCACACAATTGTTCGGACCGATCATCATAAGAAAACAAATGAAATATTAAGCGCCTCAAATTTCCATAAAAGTATATATTTTACCAATAGCCTATTCATTAATTAGTCTCTTCATTTGTGTAATAGGCCAAATCCATATTTAGGCATTAACCCCTTCATTTGTGTAAATAGATTAAGGCTATGTTTGGTAAAACTAGCTGATAAGCTAACTGATAGCTGATAAGCTAACTTATAGCTTATGTAGTAATTTTTTAGCTTATAGCTTATAGCTTATGACTTATAGCTGAAAAGCTAGCTTATATGATAAAAGTGTTTGGTAAAATTAGCTGATAAGCTAGCTGAAATAAAAAAAATTCAACTAGCTTATTTGAAAAGCTCGAGCTTTTAAAAAAAGCTCGTTCTACCAAACGAGGCTTATTTGAACACATGGAGCTTATAAGCTACCCAAATAAGCTATAAGCTAGCTTATTTGTCTACCAACCACAACCCAAACCCAACACAAACACACAATATTTTTTAAAAAAAAATAAAAGTGGGTCTCCAAATATATGGAGGCCCTAGGCATGGGCCTAGACTGTCTCCCCAAAGAGCCGGCACTGCCTGTCACTCGCAGAACTCACGCGGCGTCGCCCATAGAAGTGCACCTGTTGCCCAGTAGCACGCTAGTCGCCCGCATACCACTTTCCTTCGTCGCGACCCGTGGAGCCACCCATTGCTCCTGGGCTCATTTGCTCTCCCAAACTCGCGGCCGCGAAGATTCGTTCACCGCGACCTGTGGAGGATCCGCAATCCAAGGAGACGGCGAACTCAGTTTTTAAATTCAAAAATATAAACGATTTTGAAACCCTTTTTTATTGGGACTCGTGCCCAAACCTAGAGGAGGATTCCAGACTTTGTTTTTCTCAGTTTCTTGGATAGTGACACTACAAGACGGATTCAGTTTCTTTAGCTTGTAATCGTGGATTAGCA